TGATGTTAAGACCCTTTTCTCACACCTCTCTGGCTTTACCTGCTATACTTTTAACCAGATCTCAAATTTTCCCATGCCCCAAAACAGAGTAGCAAAGAAAAGCTTCCTTACTTGTCATCACTTCCTGGGATGATTCTTTAGAAATGTTATTCTTTGGACTTGTCTCCTTATTCTTCTTCCCATCTCCAAATCCTAAAGAGACTGATATAAAGTGTAAATGCTTTGGATCTTTAAGCTGGATGAAAAAACTGCTGTGGTGTAAATGAAATAACATAACTGAAAATGGGGCATCCATCCAGGAAGCAGAAACACAGCATCTTAACCTGGGCTTTTGGTCTGGCAGAGCACGGGAAAGGATGGGAGAGAAGAAATGGAGCACCAATAGAGTTCAGAGGGGGGCTTATTTGTGTGCCAGGTGAAAACCCAAATCACTTGGCTTTCATGGAATGGCCAATAACAGACCCCAGCCCAAGCCCCTCTTGCTCATTGTTTGGGTTTTGATGGCTAAGAGTGAGTGTAAATAGCAATTATCTTCTGTTCTGGCCAGAAACTCTGAGGGTCTTCCCCTCCCAGATTGATACTTTTGTAATGGTAAACTAGACATCTTGCGTTCTAACCTAGCCCTTAGTCATTAAAATGGGTGTTGCCTCAGACAGACTGAGACCTAAGAAAGACCTTAATTTAAAAGGGCCAACATCATTCACTGCGTCCTGGGCCAACATCATTCACTGCGTCCTGGGCCATCACCTAGACTCTTGTCTTGCCACTGGACTCTGATGACTCTGGATGACAGAGTGAGGCTGATGACTTTGTGCAGCTCTGCCTCACTTAAATCCAATTCAGGAGCAAGTCAAGGCATCACCCTCATGATGTCATTGGTCTTCTTCCAGAATGATAACAGAAGCAACAACAGCAGCAACAACAGCGGAGGGAAAAACCGTCTAGGAGTTCCAAAAGTTAAGGTACTCAAATATTGACTAAAGAAATGTATGTTGAGATAGGATTGCTACCTGGGTTTTGATGCATAAAAGATCAAAGAGTCTAAGGGAAAAAACCTGAGGGAGAGCAGAGATCAGGGTAGATCATCTAGAATTAGGACCCACAGAGAGAGTTGGGAGGGGCATTTTAATCCAAGCCATACATAAATGGAATCCCCCCACATAACACACCTGCTGAGTAGTCACCCAGCCTTTGCCTGAACATCTCCCCAAGGAGGAACCCAACTGATATGGTCTAGAGGTCAGGGGTCCTGGAATGCCAAAATAACAACATACGGGTCCTGCCCTAAAGAATTCAACCCAAGCCTTCTTTCAGCCCAAAACGGGGTTTGTTGAAGATTTGCCATATTAGCTAGACTCTTAAGGAATCTGAGCATCTGTAGGCTATTAGCCATATTGTGAAAATCTGCGCCATGGCTAGATTATAAGATTTTAGGAATCTGAGCAGTGACTAGATTATAAGAATCCCAGCATCTTAATGGAGACAAGATGGATGGTATATACAGAATGACTGTGGGAGGGATCTAGGAGTGGCCAAGTAGTCTATGAGATAATAGAATTCCAGGGAAATGGAGCCTACATAGGACCAAGGGTGGGAAGTGGCCTGGGGCCATAGGGAAGCAAGACAATGGAGGGCCAGGCTAGGTCAAGGATAACAGAATTGGGGGATTAGGTGTAGCCAGAACTACAGGGGAATGCCAGAGATCTCCTTGATCAAGTGGGAGAATTCAAGAACAAAGGTTTTCTAGGGCCCATAGGCAAACGAGGCCCAAATTGGAACAAAGGTCTCACTTTGGTCTCACATCCCATCACAACTACTTTTAAGGCAGCCAATTCCACCTTCGGGCAGCCCTAATTTAGAAATCTTTTCCTGACATCAAGCTTACATTTGTCTCTGAAATTTCTGTTGTGAATAAATTCTTATTGATGTTTTTTATTTTGTTTTAAACATTACCAATCATCTCCCCAGTATCCTTCCCCCTTTTTCTCTCAGACAGCCATCTTATATGACAATAAATGATGTCAAAGCCAAAAAGGGAAAATACCCAAATCAAGTGTCAACAGACACTTCTCACCTTACATAAATTTGCATTATTCAAATTCAATTTTATGTAAAGAATTCTGAAATTTTAGCCAACCATTAATGATAAAGGCTACCTGCAGCAAGTGAATGGACAACAGGCTGCACATCTATGTTAATTTGACAGTCATGAGCATTAACTTTATCTTTCATTCATAATTGTGGACTCTTATGGTACCACATTTCATGTCTGCATTTTAGTACATTTTATAACTTGTGTAAAGGTATTGTGTATATGCCTTTGTTATACAGGCTAAGTGAAGTGGGTAGGTAGGGGCAAACTTTAGCCCTAAGTTTACATCCACCTCCAACTCTAACCCTTGGACTCTCACCCTAAATGCATCTTATTTCCATTACGTAAGAATCCCTTTACGTATTGGTCTGAAGAACGGTTCACTTATGTAAAGTGAGAACGGTTTGTACGTCACAAGTGGGAGAACATGCACGATGCCTTATATTCACAGCACTCCCTCCTCAGCAACAGGAACATCTTCCACCTCTTCTTCGGAGCCATGCTCGGGCTTCAGAATTTTGACTCATTCATTTGTGATTGTTTTTTTTTTTTTAAGGAGGGAGAAGTTATTTTTTCTGTTTACATTGTTTCAGTCATTATATATAGTGTCCTTGGCTCTGCTGACTTTATTCTGAATCACTTCATTTACAACATGCCAGACTCTTCTGTATTCATTGCATTCATCATTTCTTATAGTACAGCAATATTCTGTTATATTGTCGACTACGGTCTGTTTAGCCATTCCCTAGCTGATAAACAGGCAGCTAGGTGGTGCAGTGGATAAAGCCCTAGGCTTGGAATCAGGAAGATGTGAGTTCAAATCCAACCTCAGACACTTACAAGCTGTGTGACCCTGGGTGAGTCACTTCACCCTGTATGCCTCAGTTTCCTCATTTGTAAAATGATCTGGAGAAGGAGATGGCAAACCACTCCAGTATCTGTGCCAAGAAAACCCCAAATGGGGTCAGAGGCAGACAATGAACAAACAACAGATGACAAACATCTACTGTTTCCGGTTCTTCACTAATACAAATAGTGTAGCTAAACTTTGGTGTACATGGGGACTTTCTTCTAATCTATGGCCTCCTTTGGATGTAACCTCAGCAGTGGAGTCTCTGGGTCAAAGGGTAAAGATATTTTAGTAACTTTATTTGCATAATTCTAAAGGGCTCCCCAAAAGGACTGTACTGATTGACAGGTCTACAACAATGCACTCGAGTGGGTAACTTCCCCTAACTATCCCAACATTGACTATACCAACTTTTGGCATTTATGCCAACTTGTAGTATGTTAGGTGAAACTTCAGGGTTATTTTGATTTGCATTTCTCTTTGTGGTTTGCAGTATTCTTCCATATGGCTGTTAGTTGCTTGCAATTCTTTTCAGAACTGTTCATATCCTTTTGATGGGGTTGGGATCCAGGCCCCAGAAAGGAAAAACCCTGGACTTTCCCACATGGCCAAATCTTTGACAACTTATCTACTGGAGAATAGCCTTGGGTTATACACACACACACACACACACACACACACACACACACACACACACGAATGTGTGTGTCTATTTTTGTTCATACATCTTGTATGCCAAATCTTTATCAGAGAAATCTGACACAAAGATTTATTCCCATTTAACTGTTTCCCTTATTACCCTGGATGCATTTTGTTTGTGTTGAAACCTTTCAGTTCCATATAATCAAAGTTATGTATTTTAGCTTTTGTAATTGCCTCTGTCCCTTATTTGGATAATCCATGTCCTACTCATACCTAGGAGAGGCATATGATCTGTTTCTTTTCTAATGATTTCATGGTATTTATTTTTAATATTAAGGTCAAACATCCATTTAGAATATATCATGGAATATGGTGTAAGATGTTGGTCTAAACCTAATTTCTGCCAGACTGCTTTCCAGTTTTCCTCATTTTAATCAAATAAGGGTTCTTTCTTAAGTACATAATTTGTTTTAAAGTTAATCAAACATGGAGTTACTGAGTTCTATTGTTTCTGACTCTCCCTTGTTTAATCAGTTTCAATGATCTATTTTAATTTTTTAAATATTTTTCCAATTACATGTAAAACAGCTTCTAACATTCATTTTTTAAAATTAAGTTCCAAATTCTCTCCAACCCTCCCCTCCCCCTTCCTTGAGAAGGCAAGCAATTTGATATAGATTATACATGTGCAGTCATGCAAAATATATTCTCATAACAGCCACATTGCAAAAGAAAACACAGATTTCCACCCTCCCCCCCCCAAAAAAAAACCCAAGAAAGATAGCTTAAAAAGAAAGTATTCAAACTCCACCAGTTCTTTCTCTGGAGTTGGATAGCATCTTTCATCGTAAGTCCTTTAGAATTGTCTTAGATCACTGCATTGCTGAAAATAAGTCATTCACAGTTCTTCATTGCACAATGCTATTACTGTGTACAATGTTCTCCTGGTTCTGCTCACTTCACTTTGCATTAGTTCATGTAAGTCCAGGTTTTTCTGAAACCCTCCTTTCTTATAGCATGAATTTTTCATCATGATCATATACCACAACTTGTTCAGCCATTCCCCAATGGATGGGCATCCCCTCAATTTCCAATTCTTAGCCACCACAAAAAGAGCTGCTATAAATACTTCTGTACATATACATCCTTTTCCTTGTATCTCTTTGGGATACAGCCCTAGTAGTGGTACTGCTAGGTCAAAGGGCATGTAGTTTTGTAGTCCATTGGGCATAGTCCCAAATTGCTCTCCAGAATGACTGGATCAGTTCACAACTCCACCAACACTGCATTAATGTCTCCATTTTTACTACATCCCCTTCAGCATGTCATTTTCCTGTCATTTTAGCCAACCTGATATATGTGAAGTGGTACTTCAGAGTTGTTTTAATTTGCATTTTTCTAATCAACAGTGATTTAGAGCATTTTTTCATGTAACTATAGATAGCTTTGATTTCTTCTTCTGAAAACTGCCTGTTCATATCTTTTGACCATTGCTCAATCAGAGCAGACAAACCGAGACCTGGGAAAGACTTTAATTTAAAAAGGCCAAGGTCACTCCCACATCCCAGGCCCTCACCAAGTCATCTCAAATATTCTTTTCCCTGGATGGGAGTGAGGCTGATGCCTCTGCACAATCCTGCCTCACTTAAATCCAATTCATGAGCGTGCTGAGACATCACCCTCATGACACCATTGGTCCTCTTCAAGAATGAAGGACAGAAAAACAGCAACCAATTGGGAGGTGGCTCATATTCTCACAGATCTGACTCAGTTCTTCATATTCTGGAGAAATGCAACCGTTATCAGAGAAACTTGCTATGAAAGTATTTCCCAGTTTTACGCTTTCTTTCTAGTCATGACTGCATTGGATTTGTTTGTGCAAAGCCTTTTTAACTCAATGTAATAAAAAAAAATTACCCATTTTACTTCCTATAATGCTCTTTTTCCATCACAAATTCTTCCCTTACCCATGAATCTTTTCTCTTAACCATTACAAGACAGTTTTGATGACTGCAACTTTTATAATATACTTTGAGGTATGAGGTGCTATATTCCTCCTCGCCCCTATTTCTCTTCATTAATTCTCTTGATATTCTGGACCTTGCCTCTGTGCCATTTTCACTGGTTTTTCCTGGTTCTGCCCCTCTGGAGACAGAGCAAACGTAATCCCTCTTCCACAGAGCTAACATGCCACAAGTCTTCTCTTCTCCACACTAACCATTCTCAGATCCTTCTACTGAGCCTTGTCATATTTAAAATGTTTTCCACATTTTCAATGTCCTTCCTAAATTGTGATGCCCCTAGCAGAACCCAATACTCCAGATATGGTCCAACCAAGGCACAATGTAAAAGGACTATTGCCTTCTCATTCTTGGAAGCTGAAAGATTACAAGATTGCTCAAATCCTAAAGCAGTATTCTGGCTGACGGATTTTTATATTTGTTATTCATGTGGGTTTTCTCAAAAGTATGAACAGCCTGATAAGGTGGATGCTCTGAAAGATATTTTCCCTTCAAATATTACCAATCTCTCCACTATTTCTTTGATGATTAAATTATATGCTCCAAAGAAAGGCATAACCCCACACTCAACACATTTATAAGTTTTATCTCCAGGATGAATTATCTGATGTGCAGTAAACATCATGCTCCAAAAAAAGTGTATGCATATTTATTATTCTTCTAAGCTTTTGATGAAATATGGTTCTCTAATGACCAGTAAGTCAGTTTTTTAGATGGAAAGATTTCCTACATTGATTACATTGCTATGTATCATATGATACTGAGCAAAGTTTGTGCACTGACAAAAAGCCTTTCTCATATTAATTTCATTTTCATGGTTTCTTCATTATAAATTCTTTGATGTACAATAAGATGGGATCTTCCGTGGAAAGACTTTTCACATTCTTTACAATCTCAAGGCTTTTCTCTAGTAAGAATTATCTGATGATCACAAAGCCCAGAGTTCATGCAAAAGCCCTTCCACTTTATATTCATAAGTTTTCTCTCCAATATGGATTCTCTGATCAGCTATAGTCCTAGACTATATCAAAAAGCTTTTCCCCATCCATCACATTCATATAGTTTCTCTCTACTATGATATCTCTTATGTCCAATAAGATGGGATCTCCTGCAAAAGGTCTTCCCACATTCATTACATTCATAAGGATTCTTTCCAGTATGAACCTTCTGGTGTGAAGTAAGCTGTCCACTGAGGCGAAAGGCTTTCCCACATTCATTACATTTAAAAGGTTTCTCTCCTGTATGAATTCTCTGATGGACTGCAAGCAGAGACCTCCACTGAAAGTCCTTCCCACATTCATTACATTCATATGGTTTCTCTCCAGTATGGATTCTCTGGTGTGAAGTAAGCTGTGACTGTAGTCGGAAGGCTTTCCCACATTCAGTACATTCAAAAGGTTTCTCTCCCGTATGAATTCTCTGATGTACTATAATTAGAGACCTCCACTGAAAGGACTTCCCACATTCATTACATTCAAAAGGTTTCTCCCCAGTATGGATTCTCTGGTGTACGGTAAGCTGTGACTGCAGACGGAAGGCCTTCCCACATTCTTTGCATTCACAAGGTTTCTCTCCAGTATGAATTCTCTGGTGTAAAGTCAGCTGTCCACTCTGGTAAAAGGCCTTCCCACATTCATTACATTCATAACGTTTCTCTCCAGTATGAATTCTCTGGTGGACAGTAAGTTTTGTCCTGTGGCCAAACGCCTTTCCACATTCATCACATTTATAAGGTTTTTCTCCAGTATGAAGTATCTGGTGTAAAGTCAGCTCTAAGTTCCGGCGGAAGGCCCTCCCACATTCGTTACATTCATAAGGCTTCTCCCCAGTATGGATTCTCTGGTGGACGGTCAGCTGTGACTGCAGGCGGAAGGACTTCCCACATTCCTTACATTCACAGGGTTTCTCTCCAGTATGGATTCTCTGGTGTACGGTAAGTTGTCCACTCAGGCGGAAGAGCTTCCCACATTCATTACATTCATAAGGTTTCTCTCCAGTGTGAATTCTCTGGTGTGCAATAAGCTGTGACCTCATGAGGAAGGCCTTCCCGCATTCATTACATCCATAAGGTTTCTCTCCAGTATGAATTCTCTGGTGTACTGTAAGCCGTCCACTTAGGTGAAAAGCCTTCCCACATTCTTTACATTTAAAAGGCTTTTCTCCAGTATGAATTCTCTGGTGTAGAGTAAGTTGTGAGCTCAGCCTGTATGCTTTCCCACATTTGTTGCATACAAAAGGTTTCTCTCCTGTATGGATTCGCTGGTGTAAAGTAAGCTGTGACCTCAGTCGGAAGGCCTTTCCACATTCTTCACATTCAAAAGGTTTTTCTCCACTGTGGATTCCCTCATGTAGAATAAGCTGTGAATTCCAGCGGAATGCCTTCCCACAGCCTTTACACTCAAAAGGTTTCTCTTCAGTATGAATTCTCTGGTGGTGGGTAAGTTCTGTTGACCAAAGGAAAGTTTTCCCACATTCATTACACTCATATGGTTTCTCATCAGTGTGTAATCTCTGATTTTCCATAAGGTCTGGATGATTACTAAATGATTTCCCGTTTTCATTATCCTTAGGAACAATCAATTCTGAAAGGACTGATTCTACACCGAAGCTTCTACCGTTCTTAGTATATTCACGGTTTTTCACTTTGCTTCGCCGCTTCCTCTGGGTGATTTTTACTTTGTTAGAATGTTTCTCCTCATGATTCTGTAGGCTCTTTAAGTTGGTATCACATTCCCAGGCTTCTCTCAAATTTAAGACACAAGGACTGTCTACTTTGAGTTTTTCCCTGGAAGATTCTTCTATAAATTCGTCCAGTGAGGAACTTAACTCTTTGTTTTCAAGTCTAGTTTCCCAATCTGAAAGAAATAAAACAAGTAAACATTCCATGATAGCCTTGACACATATGGCCTGTCTCCTGTGTCTTCTATTAAGAAATAAGATTGTAATATTGTAAAAAGTAAAACAAATTATACTATAACCTTAAGTTTGGAGCCTTGAAATGTCCTTTGAAAACTATGAACTTGGATGGGAAAAAATACATCTTTATTTCAACATAACTGGTTCCCCTTGTAACTCTACATAGTTTTATTGCATGCATTTAAAAATATGACTCTGAGAAAAGGTCTTTTGGCTTTACCAGCTGGCCAAAGGCATCCATTATACACAAAGGATAAGAAGCCATGTGGTAAAAGGATTATGTCAATGATTATTATAATTAGAGTCAGATACACTATATGAAATCTTTCCCATGGATAAAAGACCCCGGTGAGACAGGTGGAGCAGTTATTACATGTTACAAAATAGGAAACTGAGGCTTATATAGATTTTTTTGTGACTCCCCTAAAGCATACTGCTAAGTCAGCGAATCACAGAATTTGAGAGGGAAGGGGTGATGGGGTACAGGCCCAAGCCAAGACCTTTGCCCCTCATCCCAAAAAAGGAATTTGGGTCCCATTTGTCTAAAGGAGTCTCCTTGAATTCTCCCACTTGATCAAGGAAGTCTCTCAGCATTTGCCTAAGGCTATAATCCTGTCAACTGGCCTTTCATCTCCTATACCCAATCTCCCAATTCTGCTACCCTTAAGTAGCCTAGCCCTCCACTGTCCTGCAGATGGCCCTCTCTCCCACCCTTGATCCTATGGAAACTCCATTTTACGTCCCAGTCACTCCCATCAAGATTCTCCACTCCTGGCCCTCCCATAGTCTTTCCTTATATAAGATTCATCTTGTCTCCACGAAGCTGCTCAGATTCTTTAAGAACCTAGCCAAAACTGAGTTCAAATCCAGCCTCAGACCAACACTTAACATGTACTAGCTGTGTGACCCTGGGCAAGTCACTTAACCCCAACTGCCTAAAAGCAAAAAAATTAAAAAAAGAACCGAGCCAATAGCTCAAACTTTTACAATCTAGCCAATAGCTCACAAATGGTCAGATTCCTTAAGAGTCTGGACAACATGGTGGATCTTCAATAAACCTTGGCTTTGGCTGAAAGAATGCTTGGGGTCGAATTCTTTGGGCAAGACTCATGTCTCTTGCTCTCAATATTTTGGGGTCCCAGCACCCCTAAACTTCTAAACCTCAACAGAAGGATCTTAGCAGCCACCCAGTCTAACCTACACACAAAAGGAATCTCATAATATCTGGTTGTTCGTCCGTCATACTGGAAGAAGACCAATGACATTATGAGGGTGATGTCTTGACTTGCTCCTGAATTGGATCTGAGTGAAGAGCTGCCCAAAGTCATCAGCCTCACTCCCTCATCCAGAGTCACCAGAGTCCAGTGGCAAGACAAGAGCCAAGGTGACTGGTGATGGCCCAGGATGCAGTGGGTGACCTTGGCCTTTTCAAATTAAGGTCTTTCCTAGGTTTCAGTCTGTCTGAGGCAACACCCATTTTAATGACTAAGGACTAGGTTAGAACTGAGGCACAAGGTGGTCTAGTTTACCATCTTGTTTGATACAAAAGTATCAATCTGGGAGGGGAAGACCCTCAGAGTTTCTGCCCAAAACAGAAAACAATTGCTATTTACACTCACTCTTAGCCATCAAAATCCAAACAATAAGCAAGAGAGGCTTGGGCTGGGGCCTGTTACTGGCCATTCAATGAAAGCCAGAGGGATTTCTATTTCTTTTTGTTGTGGTGGTGGTGAGGACAATTGGGGTTAAGTGACTTGCCCAGGGTCACATAGGTAGTTAAGTGTCAAGTGTCTGAGGCCGGATTTGAACTTAGGTCCTCCTGACTCCAGGCCTGGTGCTCTATCCACTGTGCCATCTATCTGCTCCGTGATTTCATTTTAAAGACATAGTCAGGTAGCTCCATCTGAATCACAATAGGCTTTTTAAAGCCTGCTTTTCTAGACTTATATTTCAAGAACTCATAAATGAAACCTTGCAAGACAAAGTGTAAATTGTCCCAGATTTGGGGGGAAAAAATGAAAATAAATAAATTGGAAAAAAAATTAGCCCTTAAACCACAAGATATCTTACAAAATACAAGCAACCAAAAGTTATATTCCTTCGGACAAGGGTACCACATGTAGTAAGGGAAGAAGGAGAAAGGAGGAAAGAAAGTGGGGGAAAGGGAAATGGAGAGGAGGGGAGAGAGAGAAAGAGGGAAAAAAGAACAGTAGCATTCTCCAATTCAAACTGGCAGGTTGGGTCCGTAAGTGAGGCAGAGATGAGCAAAGTCATCAGCCTCATTCTCTCTCTGTCTCTCTCTGTCTCTCTCTCTCTCTTTTGAGGCAATTGGGGTTAAATGACTTCCTAGGGTCACACAGCTAGTAAGTATCATGTCTAAGGCCAGATTTGAACTCAGGTCCTCCTGACTCCAGGGCTGGTGCTCTATCCACTGCACCACCAAGCTGCCCCTGCCTCATTCTCTCATCCATAGTTATAAGAGTCCAGCAGCAAGACAAAAGGCAAAACGACCAGCAACAGCCTGCATCATAATGTATTCAACAAATGGTCACTCAGCCTCTATGTGAAGACTCCAGTGAGAGGGAAACCTACCATCTCCTGAAGCAGAACATTCCACTTTGGGACAACTCTCACTGTTAAAGAGATTTTTCCTGAGAAAGACCCTCAATTTGTCTCCTTGTAACTCTCACCCACTGCTTGTGGTTCTGGTCTCTTAAGCCAAACCAGAACACGTCTGACTCTTGTTCCATGTGACAGCTCTTCAAATATTTGAAGACAGCTAACCCATCCCCCACCAGTCTTCCCTTCTCCAGGCTAAGCCCAGTTCCTGCTCCTCTTCTCTTCTCTGTTTGTACCATTTTGGGTGGTGATCTCATCAGCTCCTATGGATCCAACTATCATCTCCATGACCATGAATTCTAAGCTATTTATCCAGCCCTAATCTCTCTCCTGATCTCCAGTCTCTCAGCTCCAAGTGCCAAATGAACATGTCAACTTGGATTTACCATAGATATAGCAAACCCAGTGTGTTCAAAACTGAATTCATTACCTTTCCTCCTAAACCTTCTCCCAATCCCACTTTCCCTACTATTAGAGAAGGCGACACCACCCTTCCAGTCCTCCACACTCACAACCTAGACATCATACTCAACTCCTCACCATTTTTCAGTCTCCATGTCCAATCTGTTGCTAAGTCCTGTCATTTGTATCTCTGTAACATCTCTTACACATACCCCCTGATTTCCCGAGACATAGCCACTACCCTGGTGCAGACCCTCTCTGCCTCATACCTGCAATAATGGTGTGATGGCAGGTCTGCCTGCCACAAGTCTCTCCTATTCTAGAACCAAAGCCATTTTCCTAAAGTGCAGATCTAACCATGTCATCCCTCCACTTCATTAATTCCAGGGGCTCTAAGACTACTATAATCAATAGTGCTCTACTTGGCCAAAAGGGGGCTCTCATGGCACAGTGCATAGAGCACTGGTCCTGAGGTCAAGAAGACTCATGTTCCTGAGTTCAAATCTGGCCTTGGACACGTCCTAGCTGTGTGATCCTGGGCAAGTCACTTCACCCTGTTTGCCTCAGTTTTCTCATCTGTAAAATGAGCTGGAGAAGGAAATGGCAAACTACTGCAGTATCTGTGCCAAGAAAACCCCAAATGGTCACAAAGAGTTAGGCACAACTGAAATAAGTGAACAGCTGCCACATTTGGCTCCAGAGCCCTTCATATCACAGTCCCCGCCCTTCCTTCCAGTCTGCTTATACCTTACTCCCTTCCATACACTCTCCACGCGGTGACCCTGGCCCCTGCATGATCCTCACACGTGGCATGCCACCACCCCAGCTCCGCATTTTTACCATCATCTCCCCTTTCTAACTTCCCTGGCATCCTGCAAGTCTCAGCTAAACTTGACCCTTCACCAATAAGCCTTTTCTCAACCTCCTGGATGGTAGTGCCTTTCCTCTGAGATCGTATCTGACATGTCCTGTACGTATTGTTTGTGTACTGTTCCCCCAGTGGGCCATGAGCTCTTGAGAACAGGGATTATTTGCCTTTCTTTGCAACCTTGGTGCTAAGCACAGTGCCTGGCACATAGCAGATGCTTAATAAATGCTTATTAACTAGACACAACTATTTTTTAAAAAATGAGAACAGGGAAAGTGGAGCCAAAATGGTAAAGGCAAGGACAGCCTGAGCTGTCCCCAAACCCCTCCAAATACCTTTAAAAGTGACTAAACAAATTCTAGAGCAGCAGAACCCACAAAAAGATGGAGTGAAACAAATTTCCTGCCCAGGTACACTTGGAAGGTCAGTGGGAAAGGTCTGTCACACCTAGGTGAGAGTGGAGCACAGTCCAGCCCAGGACACACTAGGACAGACCCGGCACTAGCAAACCAGGAACAGGCCTTGGGACTGAATAAGCAGCAGCAGCAGCTGCTTCTGAGCTCTCAACCCACAGACATTAAGGGGTCAGAAGATTACAGGGGTCTCTGAGGCAGGACTGTGTTGCTTTGCCCGCTTGGATCTGGGTTGCACTCCTGGGTGCAGTCCGGGACATGTAGGAGCACTAGCACACCAGAGCTTGCTGCCACAGTGGACAAGGGACCCTCCTCACAGTCCCAGGGCGAGGAGGACTATCACACCTGAGATTGTGCCCACAGTAGAGGAGGAACTCTCGTCACAGTTCCAGGGCAAAAAAGAGTGCTTGTGGTCACTCACAGACCAGAACACAGGGCAGAAGAGCCTCAAATACCTCTCCTTAGATCATACTACCTTGGAAAAACAAAAAACTTACAGGTCCCTAGAAATCTCTCTGAAAACAAAACCCCTGAAGCTTGGCACAGCTCACCCTCTACACTGGAAGCAGAGCCCTACCTTAACAAAGAGCTGAAAAGTCAAGTAATAGGCTGGGGGAAATGAGCAAACAATAGGAAAAAAAACTCTCCGACTACAGAAACTTTGATGACAGGGAAGATCAAAACATGCACTCAGAAGAAAACGAAGCCAAAGCTCCTACATCCAAAGTCTCCACGAAAAATATGAATTGGTCTCAGGCCATGAAGAGCTCAAAAAGGATTTTGAGAATCAAGTAAGAAAGGTGGAGGAAAAATTGGGAAGAGAAATGAGAATGATGCAAGAAAATCATGAAAAAGAGGTCAACAGCTTGGTAAAAGAGACACAAAAAAATACTGAAGAAATAACGCCTTAAAAAATTTGACTATGCCAAATGGTAAAAGAGGTCCCAAAAGCCAATGAGGAGAAGAATGCCTTAAAAAGTAGAACTGGCCAAATAGAAAAGGAAAGCCAAAAACTCACCGAAAAAAAAATAACTTCTTAAAAATTAGAATGGAACAAATGGGAGCTAATGACTTTATGTGAAATAAAAAAAAAATAAAACAAACCCAAAAGAATGAAAAAATAGAAGACAATGTGAAATATCTCACTGGAAAAACAATTGACCTGGAAAACAGATCCAGGAAGGATAATTTAAAAATTATTGGACTACCTGGAAGCCATGATCAAAAAAAGAGCCCAGACATCATCTTTCAAGAAATTATCAAGGAAAACTGTCCTGATAGTGTAGAACCAGAAGGGAAAACAGAAACTGAAAGAATCTACCAATCACCTCCTGAAAGAGATCCCAAAATGAAAACTACCAGGAATATTACAGCCAAATTATAGAGCTCCAGGTCAAGGAGAAAATATTGCAAGCAGGCAGAAGAAAACAATTCAAATATCATGAAGCTAGAGTCAGAATAACACAAGATTTAGCAGCTTCTACATTAAAGCATTGGAAGGTTTGGAATATGATATTCTGGAGGGCAAAAGAGCTAGGATTACAACCAAGGATCACCTACCCAGCAAAACTGAGTTATAATCCTTCAGGGGAAAAAATAGATATACAATGGGAGAAGACTTTCAAGCATTCTTGATGAAAAGACTAGAGCTAAATAGAAAATCTGACTTTCAAATATAAGACTCAAGAGAAGAATAAAAAGGTAAACAGAAAAGGAAAATCATAAGGAATTTAATAAGGTTAAATTGTTTACATTCCTACACAGGAAGATGGTATTTGTAACTCCTAAGACCATTCTCATTATTAGGGTAGTTAGGAGTGTATATAGACAAAGGGCACAGGTGTGAGTTGAATATGATGGGATAATATCTAAAAAATAAAATTAAAAGTGAGAGAGGATTGTATTGGGAGAAAGACAAAGAGAGAAGTAGAATAGGGTAAACTGTCTCACTTAAAAGAGATAAGAAAAAGCTTTTATAATGGAGAGGAAGATGGGGGAGCGGTGATGAGGAGAACTGAGTGAATCTTCCTCTCATCAGAACTGGCTCAAAGAGGGAACAACATACACATCAATTGGGTATAGAAATCTTATCTTCCTCTACAGGAAAGTAGGAGGGGAAAGGGATAAAAGAAGAGCAGGATGATAGAAGGGAAGGCAGAGTTGGGGAGGGCACAGTCAGAAGCAAAACACTTAAGGGACAAGGTGGAAGGAGAGAATAAAATAAATGGGACTGGGAGGTAGGGGGAAATAGGATAGAGGGAAACACAGCAATAGTAACTGTGAAAAAAATTCTGAAGCAAGTTTCTCTCATAAAGGCCTCATTTCTCAAACATATGGAGAACTGAGTCAAATGCATAAAAATAAGAGCCATTCCCTAATTGATAAATGATCAAAAGATATGATCAGTTTTCAGGTGAAGTAATCAAAGCTATCTACAGCCATATGAAAAAATACTCTAACTCACTCTCGATTGAAGGAATGCAAATTAAAACAATTCTGAGGTACTCCCTCATACCTATCAGATTGGCTAACAGGACAGAAAAGCTAAATGACAAATGTTGCAAGGGATATGAGGAAAATGAGACATTAATGCACTGCTGGTGGAGTTGTGAACTGATTCAACCATTCTGTGGAGCAATTTGGAACTATGCCCAAAAAGTTATAAAACCACACATACCAATACCACTTCTAGGTCTGTATCCTAAAGAAATCACAAAAATGGGAAAAGGACCCATATGTATAAAGATATTTATAGAGGCTCTTTTTGTGGTGGCAAAGAACTGGAAATTGAGGGGATGTCCACAACTGGGGAATGGCTGAACAAGTTGTGGTATATGAATGTTATGGAATACTACTGTGCTATAAGAAATGATGAACAGGCAAACTTCAGAAAAACCTGGAAAGACTTACATGGCCTGATGCAAAACGAAATGAGTAGAACCAGGAGAAAACTGTACACAGTAATAGCCACAGTGTGCAATGACTAACTTTGACAGACTTGGCTCTCCTCAGCAATGCAAGGATCTAAGACATCTCCAAAAGACTCATGATGGAAAATGCTATCCACATCCAGAGAAAGAACTCTGGAGTCTGAATGCAGATGGAAGCAGACTATTTGCTCTCCTTTTCTTTTGTTGTTTTGTTTCTTCTTTCTCATGGTTCCTCCCATTAGTTCAAATTCTCTTTTACATCATGACTAATGTGAAAATATGTTCAATATGAATCTATAAGTAGAGCCTATATCAGATTGCACACCATCACGGAGAGGAGGGAGGAAACAGAGGGGAAGAAAATTTAAAACTCAAAATCTTATGGAAGTGAATGTTGAAAACTAAAAATAAATAAATTATTTCAAAACAAAACAAGAATACCCTCTGACCTAGCAATACTGCTATTAGGTCAAAAAGCAATACTGCTTTTTTTAGTTTCTTTATTTTTCTTGAAGTTTTTTTTTGTCTATGTTTTCTTTCACAACATGACTATTATGGAAGTGTTTTGCATGGCTACACATGCATAACCTATGTTGAATTGCTTGCCTTCTCAATGAGGGTGGGGAGGGAGGAAGAGAATTTGGAACTCAAAGTTTTAAAAACAAAGGTTAAAAATTGTTTTTACATGTTAACTGGGGGAAATAAAATGCTAAAAATAAAAAGATAAAAATGAGAACAGGAATACAGCATTACAAAATACATAGAAGACAAAGGTTCTGAGGAAATAAGAAAGCAAATGGGACATACTGTGCTTTCTTTTGTTGCAATTAATATATACCTTTAAGAGAGAAGTCATCCAGAAGATGACTGCTGAGAATGAGGTGGGAAGGAAAAGTGCTCTCCCCTCCTAAGGCTGTAGGGGCTGACCGATACAAGGACAGGAAGGACACTTGCCCGTAGAAGTGAGGCTTTCAGAAGCTGCTGGTGCCCAGGGGCCTCTGCTCTTCTCCAGATGCCTGGAGTCTTTGAGGAGAGCTCCCTGGTCCTGCCTGCTCCGAGGGCTCGGGCCTCACTGGCTCCCCCACTCACCTGGACGGCCGCTTCCGGAGAAGCCTTCCCCGGGCCTCCACGGTGCCTCCCCTTGCTCCAGCCGGCAGATCACATCTGGTTTGGATCCCGCAAGTCCTGCTGGGCAGATGAGAAGCAGCTGAGGACATGCCCCTCAGCACCCCGACTCAAGCCCTAGCTTATAGGGTCAAGGCCCACAAATAGAGCAAAGGGCCTGCACAGAGGACAGTGCAGGTCACTGCTGGGGGGGAGAAGCTGGAGCCCGGGGGATGGGCAACGAAGGGGGATGAGGGGGATGGAGAGGGAAACAAAGGGGGGGGATGGGGAGGGTCAACTAAGGAGGGGGCCCTTCTCTACCTCCGGCAGCCCCGGCTCCCAAGGGCGCCCCCTCCTCACCCACGCAGACCAGGTTCCCGTAGTTCTCCAGCATCACCTCCCGGTACAGCTCCTTCTGGGTGGGGCCCAGCTGCCCCCACTCCTCCCAGGTGAAGTCCACGGCCACGTCCTGGAAGGTCAGTGACCCCTGAAAGACCCAAGCCCCGTTCGCTTGCCCAAGGCCAGCCCAGGGAGGGGAGGGCGGGCTGGGCAGCTGCCTCTGGGACCCCGGGGAGCGCAAGCCCCCTTCTCCATCCCCCAGGGAGGGGGTATGGGGACACTAGGCTCAGGACACTCAGGGGTCAAATCAGGCCTCAGGACCCGGGCAGGTCCATCTGTAAAATGAGAAAAAGAGCGGGCGCTACATAAATGAGGGTGGGGCCTGCAGGGGGGGGATCAGTGGGGCAGTGTGGACTAACCACCTACTTTGTGCCGGCCTCAGCAGGCTGAGGAACAAATAGGCATAGAGGGAGGGCCCAGACTCCCTCCCCAAAGCCTCCAGAAGATGGGTGGGGTGGGCGGAGCCCCTCACCTGGCGGGGCTTGGCTCTCAGGTGGGACGTGGGAGCCATGCCTTCCTTCTCCTCCGCCGCTGATTGGCTCCTGCGCCTGGCCCTGCTAGAGTGACCAATGGGAGGGCGGGCCCGCGGAGGGGGCGTGGCGTGGCTAGGCCCAGCACTCACAAGTCACTGCGCAGGCGCGGCCCGCTCCGAGGTGGCGGCCTCCGGCTCCACCAGCCCGTGGCTTCCCAATGTCCCCTTCCCCTTCTGAGCCTCCTCGGCCGGCTGCGCTCCCGCCCCCACTCACGGTAGCCCGGGACACAGGGACCCCGAACTGAGTTCCGCCGACGGAAGGAGGAGCCTCGGGAGCGGAAGTGACGAAAAACGGGAGCGGCTCCGCCCTCCCCGGCGCTGAGGGGGCCGCTGAGCCTCAGTTTGGGCATGAAAGGCCTTCTGGGAGTTGTAGGCCGGTGTCTTAGGGAGGGAGGAGAAAGGAGTGTTCTGCGCCTGCGCATTCTCCTTAGCCTTCTACTCCTGGGCACCTCCCTCCCGTCCCTTAGGTGGAAAGAGCGCAAGTCCTTCTGGGAATCGTAGTTCTCCCTCTACACGCTCTTATAGGGGAAGAGGGAGAATAAGGCAAGGTGGCCTAGGCCAGGTGCGTATTTTTCCTATCTCCCCACCCCCTTCCTCCTCCCTTGTCATCTTCCTCTCTGTCCCTCCTCCTCCTCCTCCTCCTCCCCCCTTTCCTTCCCTCTTCCTTCCCCCCTCCTCTTTGCACCTCCTCCCTTTTCCTCCCTATTTCCTCCTCTTCTTCCTTTTCCTCTTCCCCTCCTCCACCCACTTCCTCCTTCCCTCAGCAGGAGCCTCTAGGCCACCTGGTACTTTTTAGCATCATAGATAGGGAGCCTGGCCTGGAGTAGGGAAGACCCGAGTTCAAATCTAGCCTCAGACATTTACTGGCTAAGTGACCCTGGGCAAGTCATTTAACCCTGTTTGCCTCAGTTTCCTCATCTGTAAAATGGGGATAAGAACGCCCCCTACCTGCCAGCGTTCTTGTGAAGTAATGTTTGTAAAGTGCTTAGCATGACGCCTTGTGTGTAGGATGATCCATGAAAGTGTTAACTGTATTATTATTAACATGTGTCAATGTGGACTGGTTTCCTTCTAGGCCCAATTCTTCAGTCTTCTCTCTCCTTTGGTGCTGTTTCACAAATTCCTTTTTTCAAATTTATAATTTATTTTTTAACATTCTTTTCTTTCTAAATTTGGAGTCCCAGAGTGTCTCCCTTCCACCACTGCCCCACCCACAGAAAAGGCAAACAATTTCACAAGTTCACAAGGACCTGAGGTCCTTGATTTTTTTTAATTTTGAAAGTATCTTATTTTGGTCCAAATACGCATAAAAATGATTTTGACATGAATTTTTAAGTTTTGAGTCCCAGATCCTCTCAATCCCTCACTCTCCTCCCCTCTCATTAAGAAGGCAAGCAATTTGATACAGGATTTACCTGCAGTCATGCAAAACATATTTCCATATCAGTCATGTTGAAAAAGAACATAAAAATAACGTTTTAAAAAATGCATGCTTCAGTCTGTGTTCAGACTCAGTCAATTCTTTCTCTGGAGGCAAATAGCATTTTTCATCACAGTTCTTCAGAATTGACTTGGATCATTGTATTGCTGGGAATAGCTAAGTCATCCTGCCACATTGGGAACTTATACAATGTTCTCCTGGTTCTGTTTACTTCACTTTACCTCTATTCATGTAAGTCTTTCCAGTTTTTTTCTGAAAGCATCCTGCTTCTCATTTCTTGTAGCACAAATAGTATTCCATTATAATCATATACCACAACTTGTTCAGCCATTCCTCAATGGATGGGCATCCCCTCAATTTCCAATTGTTTGACACCACAAAAAAAGCTGCTATAAATATTTTCATACAAATCAAATAGGTCTCTCCCTCTCTCTCCCCTTTCTCTCAATCTCTAGATACAGACCTAGAAGTGGTATTGCTGGGTCAAAAGTTATGCAGAGTTTTATTGTCATTTGGACACAGTTCCAAATTGCTCTCCAAAATAGTTGGATCAGTTCACAACTCCACCAACAATGCATTAGTATCCTTATTTTTCCACATCTTTTCTAGCATTTGTCATTTTACTTTTCTGTCATGTTACTCAAACTATGAGGTGGCACCTCAAAGTTGCTTTAATTTGCATTTCTCTAATCACTAGAGATTTAGAGCATTTTTTCATGTGACTATTAATAGATTTGATTTCTTCTTCTGAAAACTGCTTGCTCATATTCTTTGGCCATTTATCAGTTAGGGAATGACTTGTGTTCTTATACATTTGACTCAGTTCTCTACATATTTGAGAAAAGAGGCCTTTTTCAGAGACACTGGTAAATTTTTTCATAGCTATGATTACTATTTCCCTCCATCCTATATTTCCCTTATTTATCCTTCTCCCTCATTCTATCCTTTCTCAAAAATGCTTTGCTTCTCACCACCAGCTACCCCCAATCTGTTCTCCTTTCTATCACCCAGACACACGACACTTCTTTTATCCCCGTCCCCTCCTACTTTCCTGTAGGATAAGATAGATGTCTATACCCGCCTGAGAGTATATGTTATTCCCTCTTTGAGCCAATTCCAATGAGAGTAAACTTCACTGGCTCCCCCCCCACCTCCCTCATCTTTCCCTCCACTGTAAAAGCTCTTTCTTGCCTCTTTTATGTGAGATAATTTACCCCATTCTATCTCTCCCTTTCCCCTTCTCCCAGTGTATTCCTCTTTCTCACCCCTTAATTTTTTTTAGATAATCATCACATCATATTCAACTCACACCCATCCCCTCTGTCTACCTATACTCCTAACTGCCCTAAAAAAGAAAGTTCTTAGCATTTACAAGTATCATCTTCACATGTAGGAATGTAAACAGTTTGAATTATTGAATCCCTTGTGATTTCTCTTTCCTATTTACCTTTTTATGCTTTTCTTGAATCTTATATTTGAAAGTCAAATTTTCTATTCAGCTCTGGTCTTTTCATCAGGAATGCTTGAAAGTCCTCTATTTCATTGAATATCCATTTTTCTCCTGAAGGATTATACTCAGTTTTATTGGGTAGGTGATTCTTGGTTGTAATTCTGGTTCCTTTGTCCTCCTAAATACCACATTTCAAGGCCTCTGATCCTTTAATGTAGAAGCTCCTAAATCCTGTGTTATCCTGATTGTGGCTCCACAATATTTGAATATTTGTTACTTTCTGTTTGTTGCAATATTTTCTTCTTGATTTGGGACTTCTGAAATTTGGCTACCATATTCCTGGGAGTTTTCATTTCATTTCATTTCATTTCATTTCATTTCATTTCATTTCATTTTAGGTCCTCTTTCAGGAGGTGATTGGTGGATCCTTTCTATTTCTATTTTACCCTCTAGTTCTAAGATATCAGGGCAGTTTTCCTTGATAATTTCTTAGAAATTGATGTCTAGGCTCTTTTTCATTTATTTTTCATTTTTTTGATTATGGCTTTCAGGTAGTTCAATAATTCTTAAATTATCTCTTCTTGGTCTATTTTCAAGGTCAGTTGTTTTTCCAGTGATATATTTCACATTTTTCCTATTATTTCATTCTTTTGATTTTATTTTGTTTCCTCATGCCTGCAAACAACAGAAAAAATCATGCACCAACTCTCCCTCCACTTTAGTCTTGGCTTGTAGCCTTTTCAAGTTAAATAATTTGCCATACTAAGAAGTGGAAATTGAGAGGATGCTTATCAGCTGGAGAATGGCTAAACAAGCTGTGTTATATGGTTATGATGGGATATTATTATACTCTAAGAAATGACAAGCAGGATGCTTTCAGAAAAACCTGGAAAGACTTCCATGAACTTGACGCAAGGTGAAGTGAGCAGAACATTGTACACAGTAACAGCAGTGTTGTACGATGAAGAACTGAGAATGATTTCAGCAATACAATGATCCAAGACAATCCCAAAGGACTCATAATGAAGCATGCTATCTGCCTCCAGAGAAAGAACTGATACTGCTTGAATGCAGACCGAAGTATGCTATTTTTTTTCTTTTATTCTAGTCTTCTTTTGCAAAATGACCAGTATGGAGAACACAGGTTTTCTACCAGCACCACACCACCCACATGTCAAACCATCAGTTACAGCAAATGCAGAAGTTTTGAATGCTGTGGATAAGTCCACTTACCTTGGCAGCATACTTGCTAGGGATGTACACATTGATAATGAGGTTGATGCACGCATTGCCAGAGCTAGCTCAGTGTTTGGAAGGCTCTGAAGGAAAGTGTGGGAGAGAAGAGGAATTAGACTGACTGTCAAAGTGAAGGTCTACAGAGCCATTGTGCTGACCTCATTGTGTATGCCTGTGAAAGCTGGACAGTCTACTAGCACCATGCCAGGAAACAGAATCGCCTCCATGTGAATGGTCTTAGGAAGATTCTGATGATCACCTGGCAGGGGAAGGTGCCAGACACTGAGGTCCTTTCTCTAGCTGAACTGCCAAGCATTCAAACTACAGCACAGAACACAACTCTGAAGAGCTAGCTGTACTGTTCAAATGCCAAAAAGCACTTTACAAATATGATCTCATCTGATCCTCACAACAAGTCCTAGAATGTGCTCCATGATGGAGAACTATTAGAGGATTCTCAGGAGGGACAGCAGTGAGAAGACAGGGCTGTTCACTCCAATCATTACCTTTCAATACGGTTTCAGAAGTGTTGAAGGAGACAAGGGTGGGTAAGGAGGAAGCAAACAGATCTCAATTTGTGGACGTTCAGATATCACAGTCAGAAACCCTGAGACATTCAAGAGACGTCTGACGTGAGCTGCACCCTGGGATCTATGATAAGCCCATCAATATTATGAATTTTTCCACTGGCCAGCAGAAGACACAGACAGGAAGAAAAAGACCTGTTGTGGTCAACACAAAACATGTCAAGCACTTGAGCATTAACCTCTGAAGAGACAGAAGAAACCACTACAGTGTTCTATAAAACTATTTAAACAGAAGCAAAGGCAGGATTGGATTGCAGAAACACCCACTGTCCGGGACTAGGTGGGCCCAATAGAGGACTGGGGTAATACTGCCCCAAATTAACTCCCCCAGTGGACTTCATCACAGAACTGCACAAAGTGATAGCTAAATGTCGGGATGGACACCGAGGCAGAAATATCGAGGAGAACCATGGAAGATTGGGGGGGGGGAGCTATAGGAGTGACAAAAACAAGGTGTCCAGAAAAAAAGGGACGGAAACAGATGTAGCCCCGACATTTGCTATCAATATTCTGCTAAGAATCTGACATCCTAACCAAGCAGGATGTATAAGGGTAC